GGACCTGCACGGAGGTTCAGTACGTAGACCTTATCACCTACAGAGAATCTGGGCAAGCAATTAGTATTCTGTTCAAATATATCAGCCTCCTTGTGGCTTGAAAGGGAAGGTACAAGACTTGAGAATTTCGTTCTCAATTGTCTGTGCATAAGCAGATATGCAGGACACTCAGCAGTGGCGTACATCTATACGTAAAGAGGATACGATTCAACTTGTAAAGAACCTTCTCCTTTCTCCATCTTACACAAAGCAGAAGTACCTGACATAACGTTCTGCCATGCCATTGGACGCAGGATGTCTGAGAGGTGTAAGCGTATGTCGGATGCCATGCTTCTTCAAGAAGTCTCCAAATTCGTTACTGGCGAACTGAGGGCCATTATCTGAAACGATATGCTTGGGGGGACCAAAGTTAGTAAATAATTTCTCTAAGTGAGATATGGTAGCTTTAGAATTAGTAGATTTTACTGGCAACACCTCTAACCATTTAGAGTAGCTGTCTATTACAACAAGGAACATACTACCCATATAAGGACCGGCGTAGTCAACATGAAGTCGTTTCCACGGTCCATTTAGATCAGGTTGGTGCAGGACTGCCCCAATGCCAGATGCGGATGCATCACACAAAAATACTAGTTCGACATCAGGGTCGTAGTGCGCTAACGTGACATCGTCAGTCATCATCATCTCGATTTCCTGGAACAACGTCTGCTGCTTTTGACCCCAAGTCCATGGTTGATCCTTCTTAAGAAGTAGGTATAATGACGCCATGTGGTGGGCCAGGTTGGGAAGAAACCTTGAATAATAGTTAACCAACCCAATGAATGCTGCTTTCTTGATTGCCTCGGCTTTGGACTCCGTTGGTTTGACTCCATCCTTGCTGATCTTGTATCCTAGGTACTCAACTTCAGCTAGCATGAATTTACACTTCGTCTTCAGTAGGTGCAGACCATACTCTTGTAATCGATTCATCACTGCTCGGAGGTTAGATAAGTGCTCAGCATCATCACGACCCGTGACCAAAATGTCATCCAAGTACACACTGACACCATCAATTCCTTTTAGAACATTCTCCATCGTGAGTTGGAAGAGAATGACTGCGCAGGACACTCCATAGGGAAGTCTGTTGTATTGGTAGAGACCAACATGCGTATTTATCGTAGTCAACTTCTTTGATGCTTCATCTAGCGGAATTTGGTGATACGCCTAGGAAAGCTCGAGCTTAGTAAATTTCTCACCATGGGCCAAAATTGCAAGGATCTACCTTAGGTAACGGATACTTGTCAGGTTTAGACACAGTGTTGACAGTCACCTTGTAATCCCCACACAAACGAATGGCACCAGTCGGTTTCACTATAGGCACTATTGGAGCCGCCCAGTCAGAATGGACTACCTTCTCTATGATTTCTTGACTCTCTAGTTTCTGTAGTTCGGCTTCAATCCTTTCTTTATCAGCAAACGGAAGTGGTCTTGCCTTGGAGAACACAGGCTTGGCATCCTCTTCAATCCGGATGTGAGCTTCATATCCCTTCAGACAACCCGGCTCACACCTAAATAACTCAGCAAAATCAGTTAGTAAATTGTCAAGCTCAGACGTGACACAGTTAACATTAAGAATTTCCTTCTAAGGTACTTTCTTTTACTCTCATTTAACCATGTACGGCCACTAAGACTAGGTTAGAATGCTGATCACCAACTGACACCTTGACTAATTTCTCTTCCACGACATTAATCTTGTTACCCGAATAAGAACGTAGTTAACAGAAGTTGGGCTCAAGGTAGTATTTCCAAAATGTTTATCAAAGTCATTCTTGCTCATGAGGGAGACCCCTGCCCCAATATCTAGATGGAATACGATTGGTACATCATCAACAAGTACATCAACATGTAATGGTGGGTTGGTGCCGACACTATTTATGCAAAATAAATTGCTAAAATCTTCATCTGTTTTATCATTGACTTCGTAATCAACAGCATTTGCTTGCTCAAAGTTTCCCTCCCTAGAGATTTGATGTCTTTGCTTTAACAAACAAGCTCTTTCAATAGAGACCTTAAGATTGAAGTTTACCACAAACGTGAAACCGCGGGTTGACGTCTTTTCATTATTTTTTATGAATTTTTTAAATAATTAATTAGTGGAGTTGGTGTAGCCACATTCACCATTGTCACTCACATGCCATCCAAAGCATGCTCTGCATTATCTGCATCACCTCCATGAATGTTGTGACACACATCTAGAGTTTCCTTTCTACGTCTCTGGCCAGATCTTAGGGCAATGGGCACTTCAAAAGTTTCTGAATTTTCTGCTTCTATTCTAGT